TGTTGCATACTGTAACGTGCAGACCAGAACAAGAACCGACCTTTCAATACAAAGTACAAGATAACACAGCGGAAGACTTAGATACCAGTGATCCGAACAATCAATGTTGTAATGCAGCCCTGAACATACATCATCATCATCGTTACATGGTGTGAATGGGTCTGGCGCTTCACACAAGAAGACAGCGCCAGCCCATACCATACACAGACGAGGAGGAAGGGGATAGACGAAAAGAAGGGGGAAGATAGGAATGTCGTCAACACCAAGTCTTCGGCACAGGCCCAAATAGTCCCTCGTCGAAATGTCTGAATCCCAAATATCAAGTCTCGATCCAATGTCGTCAAGTCTCAACTCACAACTCTATCTCTCTCTGTCGTAGTCTGAGAAGTCAGGTGGCGAGAGGGTGAGAAGAGAAGGTGGACTTAGAAGAGGAAGAAAAAGAACTCTCTCTCTCTCTGTGTCCAGTACTAACCTGTGAAGTTGGCGCCTTGATGCAGGTACCACGAAGATGGAGCTGGAGCGATGGCGCCACAGGTAAGTAACACTGACCTCCGCCAGTCTCTCTCCCACTCTACGATCTACCACCTACCAGCGCCCAGCGCTGAAGACTATAGCTACAGCTATGGCGCCCAGCACCGAAGACTACAGCTAGCGCTTCTACTACTTAGCGCTGGAGACTACTACAGCGCTCCTCCTTAGTGCTGTGGCCGAATCCTGAAGACTACCTCGTGACTACTGAACTACCTACCCGTGAAGTGCATGGGAACTTCCTATGTACTACGGGTGTGCCTCCTGAGCCTGCCGAAGGGAGGCAGGGGCTGCAGATGCAGCTCCTGCTTAAACTCGTGAGGAACAGGCTATTTCTGGCCTGTTCCGCATCCCTGTTTACGTGCCTGAGTCTTAGGGGTAGGTCGAAACAATGAGGGCCTGAAAATGGCCCTCCGTTTCAGGCTGAAAACTCTGGGTCTGAAAAGACCCAGAAATAGGCTGAAACGGGGTAGGGCCTGCAGGCCCTCGTTTTTCAGATTCCAGGCTGAAACGGACGGGGCCTATAAGCCCTAAGTTTTAGGCTTTTAGGCTGAATGTCCGGGACGGGCCCTGTGTGGCTACGCAGTATGCCACAATGGGTGAAGGAGGTGGTGGAAGAAGAAGGTGGAAGATGGTTGGCTATGGCCGATGGGTGAAGGAGATGGGGGAGGAAGAAGGTGGAAGGTGGTTGGCTATGGTGGATGGGTGGAGGAGGAGGAGGAAGGAGGTGGAAGGTGGTTGGCTATGGTGGATGGGTGAAGGAGATGGTGGAGGGAGAAGGTGGGAGGCGATTGGCTATGGTGGATGGGTGAAGGAGGAGGTGGAGGAAGAGGCTATGGTGGATGGGTGAAGGGGATGGTGGAGGGAGAAGGTGGGAGGTGAGGCTATGGTGGATGGGTGAAGGAGGAGGTGGAGGAAGAGGGTGGAAGGTGGTTTGGCTATGGTGGATGGGTGAAGGAGATGGTGGAGGAAGAAGG